AAAAAAAAAAAGAAAAAGAAACGAGACTAGCTACGGTCCTGCGCGGCGACAGAAGAAAGAATCGAGGGGAGATGGTCTCTGCGATGATGGTATTGGTATCACACAGGACTTAATCCAAAGATGGGTCTGGTTAGAATGATTTTTCCACCGGACCAGGGAGGTTGAGTTGATGGTGAAGATTTTAGAAGAAGCCGGCAAAAAAAATTTGGGCAATGGGTTATAAGGATGGAGAAGGGGCGAAGGGAAGGGCTTTGCCGGGAAAAACAAGATTTGGGTTCCAACACTGTACGCCCAGCGCGCATAGAAGTATACATCAGAGCTTGAGACCATTTTCTGACACCTTAATCACTGTCAGGAGGGCAGAATGTTTTGCTGATCCAGAGCGTTGTCAGGCTGCATATACAGTGTCAGCAACTGCCAAGTATTCAGAATCCTACACTGTCTTTGAGACATGGCACGCTTTATTGGTTCTTTCTATTGTATTAGATTTTATTACTGTATTATTCTTTCCCTTGGGCATAGGTAGTAGGTAGGCTGAGTAAGTCATCCAACCAGGCCAAACAAAGACCAACCCTCAAGCAGATACATAGTATAGGTAGGTTATAGGTAGTCTAGGTGCCTCGCTATGGATGGCTGCACTACCTGACTACCTACCTACTAACAATATCCATGCCTAATTGCTCCATGCTCACCAACAAAGACCGCTACGGGCTGTCTACGTCAATCTGGGTTGGGGAGGGCCGCTAGGTACTATAGGTAGGTAGGTACCTAACCAGGCTGCCTCACTGCTCAAGCGCTCCAGCCTAAGATAAGTAGGCGTTTTCTGTTGTTAGGCAAGTGAGATACAATAAAATGAAATGAAATGAAATAGAGTAGAGTAGAGTAGAGTAGAATAAAATAAACTTAAACAAAACAAACTGAAACGTTGAACATGTGCTGAGCCTAGAACCGAAGCCAAGATTGGGATTGTTCACCATGAGTCTTGCCTCACTCTTGCGTCTCTCAGTATCTATCACATGCTATCATCCAATATGGAGCGTTGGATATAGATCCATATGGAGGTTGTCATACTACCTATGTACTCTCTCCCCTGGAAGTCATTCTAGATCGTAGACTTAGTACTTATTCGCATCCATACCTAGGTACCTAATTAGTAGGTTCCAGGCCTGTCCGTAGACTACCTAAATCTACCTGTAACAACGAATCCAATCAGGCAGCACTCGGCCATTCCCACTTCCATTGTACTCAACATCCTGGATGGCATTGGATCCCACGTTGCTGGCCTAGCCAGGGCATACGTAGATAGATAATCGGATACTCAGCCCGAGCACCCGGCGTGTCTGTGCTGCGTCTCGTCTCCAGAAATGATTCATGGATGACCTCTCACCCTCAAATCCGATTAATTATAAAACTTGATAGACTAGACTAGACTAGACTAGTTGTACAGAAACAGAAGTCCCGAACCGAACTCGCAAGAGACTCATAGAGTGCAAGCAACATGTGAGTAGAGGAGAGTACACAGTCAGTATTGAAGTGATTCAACATGTCAGCCTCGACCCTTAAGCTCGAGAGGACGACAATGAATCATGAAGGGATGGGGGACCGGGGTGGAGTGACACTGATAGGAATAGGAGTGAGTGCGCATGGACCAGGCATCAAGTTTCCCATCCATCGGATACAGCACGGACAAACATGTATTGTCACAGATGCCCAAACAAACCGACAATCCTAGGCTATGGATGTTTAGGTAACGTATCCTAGGTTGGAAGTGGAGCTGCCATCATCACAACTGACAATGATGCTCCTAGCTACGAATAATAAATCAGGTAGACAATATAATTAAAGGCAAGGTACAGTATTGTAACCCCAAATCATGAAGGGATGCCATGGTTGTGGTCATGGTCATGGTCCATGCTATGCTATACCCATGACTCATTCTTCTTACTGCACTTAGGGTATTACGCCCAGACAGCACTACTGTATGTATTGAGCGTTCATTATCCATGAAAGGGGTCATCAGATATTGATCCTGCCTGTTTGTTATATATAACCAGCCCTAGCGAAAGAGTCATAGACTGGGTATACTGACTACGCAATCAAGAACATGGCCAACTAAAGGCCGAAGGTCTGCTGTCAACCACCCGTTGCCTAATTTGTTATAAAATTTGGTGTACCATCATCGTCACCCGAGAGATGACTGAGTGATGATTGACAAGTAGTCTCACAATATCTTAGCAGTGGGTGCTTGTTTGTCATGTCTCACTTTGCCATGGATCTTAGGCATCGTCCGTCACTCTTCTTTTCTTTCTTTGTTGTCTACGTTTGATGATGGAAACATTAACGTTGTTAATAGGGTCAACCCGAACCACCAACGATCAAGACAACATGACATACAATGCAGCATGTCACACACAGGCACAATCATACACAGGATGGTCGTAACAACTACAAAGTTGCAGTAAATCTTTCAGGCATGAGGCCGATACCAGCTCCCCTCAACAGGGCCAGACCGTGTCTTGAAGGTATTACGATGACTCCTAAAACTGTCTGTAGAACTCAGTGTGTATCAATTCTGTGAAGGGCTCGTGCTATGCGAACCCCGTATAATTTGCTTCCCTATCCTGCGCCTTTCAGTAAAGAACCTTGGACAACACATAAGCTTCCATCGCCACATCAACTCACTCTCCTTCTCGCACTTCCAAAATGTCTGCTTCGACGTCGTCGTCGTCAAATTCTTCGTCATCTTCCTCCTCACCATTTCCGTACCCTCCCTCCTCATCCTCAAACTCTTCTTCGATGATGCGTTCCGGGAGCCCTTGCTCATCCTGGAGCTGCTTGATCTTGGTGTTGGTCATTTCGAAGACAAATTGGCCCAGATGCTCGACTCCTTCCATCGGCACCTCGCCTTTAACTGGGCCTTGTTCCTCGGTGACCTCCCTCTGTGTAGGCCAGAGCTCCCCCGTTACAAGCATAAGTTTGTCTGGCCTTTGCAACAATAAATCAAAAGCAGGTCGGAGTTCAGGACAAGCCTCAAAGACCTCACGGCGGCCAAGGATGTACAAGCCGAGCCGTGCTCGGGACAACGCTACTGTCATACGCCGCACATCACGTAGATAGCCAACGCGCGACGTTCGGGTAAGTGAAAGAATAATATCTGAGGAACATGTCAGTCAAAGAAAGGAAATCGACAATTAGACACCAACTTACAATCGTTCTGCTCGCCTTGGTATTTGTCGACCGTAGCTACCGATTTTGGCAGACCGAAAACTGGGTTGCCGGCACACCTACGCGACAACACGTCTCTTACGAGGGCTCGCTGACCAGCATAAGTTGTGAGAATCGTGATCTTCTCGGCAGGATATCCAAGGAGGCGCATGTATTGAAAGATAGCCACCGCGTACTCAGCTTCTCCAAGATTATGGATGAAATGGGGCGTAGGTTCAGCCTCGCCCTGGCCGTTGTAGTCAGGCACGTTGATAAATTGATAGTCAAACTTGAACCCAGCGTTAGCCTTGACAAATTCGGGACTTGTCTGCACATCTGGAAGGTTATCGAGCTTCGGATAACGCCATTGGTAGAGGCTCGCAATCGAAGCACGAGCACGCCCTTGCTGATCAAGGGCAATTGTCGGAACACCTAGTCTGACTAGTCTCGAGAATAGTGACTGTTCGAGGTTGGCGTAGTGGCGGAACGCCAGGCTCTGGATGACTGGCGAATTCTGGAAGTGGTCTCCACACAGAACAACTCTTTGGAGAGCCATCTTACCATTGCGAGGCTTCTGCATAGCTAGAGGCAAGAATGTCTCGATCTCGGTTACTTGGGCAGCCTCTTCCATCACGACGTTGTCGTAATGAAAACCGAGTGATGCGATCTCGCCTCTCCGGATGGCCGCATGTGTTGTCGTCATCGCAATAATGCGCGCTTCGCTAGTGAGAAGATAGTTTGCCTTATCACGGTCTCGTCGAAGGATTTCGAATGGAAGTGCATCGGCCAACTCAGAGAAAATCTTGGAAATGTGATGGTAGCAGCCCTCTGCGACCTCCAAGGTCTGTTCTTTGTCTCCTTCAGGGGGGAAAAGGGGCTGGGGGGCATCGGAGAAGTATGCATGGAACGGGAAGGCCTCTACAATATCAGTGGCAGTTGAATCGTTGGCGCTGGCGACTAGTTGGAACCTGTTCCACGCAGGAACAACATAAACGTTATTGAAATATCCAGCCGTCTCGGCCGAATTTTCGTGAGCTCCAGGCGCGCCGAGGCTGATAGCCAGCTTTCTCACTTCGAGAAGGTAACGATCTCGGTTCTGCAGGAAGGAGTCGACTCGGCCATGCTTGCTGAAATTCCCTTCCGTATCCAAATCCTCTTCGCCATGCCCCAAGCGTAATAGATGCCGCTCATCAATATCCAACGCAACGATCTTCGCAAATAGTTGATTAAGTGCCTGATTACTGTGCGCGAGTAACAATGTCTTCTGCTCAGGATGGTTGTGGTAAATATTGTTGATAACCTGTGTGGCTACATCTGTCTTGCCCGTGCCAGGTGGTCCGATGATCACAGTCAATCCAGGCTGCGTTCCAGAAGTTATGGCTTCAATTTGAGCTGGGGTAAATCGCACCGAGTTAAGCTTAGGGTTATCGACGCGATAAGGCCCATTATTTGGTGGCTTATAGCTTGACACTTTCAATGTCTCAATCTCGGCAATGAGAGCAGGATCGGCGTCTCGGCGTCGCTTCTTGGAAGGCTTGGTAGATGGCGGCTCGCTCTGCTTTTCGACAGACTCGATAATATATGGTGGTCCAAAACTACCAGAAACGTCGTCGCCCGGGTCGATGATCTTGCCGGGAAGGCTTTCGGCAAGATGCTGCCAATCAAGAAATGTATCCCTGAAATCTACCTTGCGTTCGCGATTTGGAAGGTTCTTATAATAAGCTCCTGCCGGGTCACCATAACCAAGGAATACCTCATGAAGCCACTCCGGCAAAGGCACATCAGACAGTACCAAGTTTCTGATAGATTGCAGGACAGGCTTGAAGTTGTTCTCCCTTCTACCTCGTCTGAGTAGCAGGTTGATCTTGCCATATACATCGGGCTTCCCAGCTGATGTCCGCTCAGCATCTTTGCTATAAGCCTGAGGATCGAGCTTGAGCTGAATGCGGCGTTTATTGTCAAGATTTCCGGCACCATCTCGGACTAGGCGACCTTTGTCATCTGTGATTTGATGAACCTCGGCCGTTCGTACAGTAACCACACCCAGGCGTTCTGATTCAGAAAGAGTCTCTCCGCCATTACTGATGGACTTTGCGGGCGGTGGCTCGACTGCGATAAGGAAAACAACATCATCTTGTCTAAGAGAATCCCATTCTCTGCGAACGCCTTCTCCTAGCCGTCTAACGTCAAAGGAGACCTCTGCGCGCACCATCGATGGTTTGTCATCCCCTACCAGAGGTGGTATAACCTCAAGAATGGCCGGTTTTGAGATAGGCATTGCCATCTTTGAAAACCCCGAAAAATTGGTTTCATCTGATCGCTTCGACTCAGGACGCAAGCGTCTTATGGCGGTCTCGATATCTTTGCGGACACCGTAAAAGGACTCGCATCGATACAAGACAAGCGCTCGCCACAGAAAGTCGCCCACGGAAAGGTATTGTAGATTGAGCTTAGGTAAAGCCATGGGATGCGATCCATCATAAGACTCGGCTTGCTGGAAGCTGGTATCAAATAAGGTCTCCTCTGTTGGTGCCAGACTCATATGACGAGCGGCCTCTTGGAATGTTTTTCTGCGTTCGAAGTTGGACAAAACCACCTCGAGCAAGAATTTGCGGTCGATAGGTAGGTCCAAGCTGTCAGGATAAGCTGTCCGGAAATCGAGAAGCGAAACCAGGTTCGTAAGCTCTTCATCCGCCAACGGCTGCAGCAGAGCCTCCAATTCCTGTCTTTGGTCAACGGCACCATAATTGGACAAAGCCAAGACAGTCAACTTGTCTCGGAAATGCTTCAAGGCAGTGCGTTGCAATTTGGCAAGCGACTCGCAATGGTTGTCGTATGCTTCTTTTATGTTGTACTGGGCACCTGTCTGGTCATTGATATCGAAAGAAGTAAAGTGAGAAAGGAGAGATTGAAGATCACGCAGAAGTGTGTTCTCCTCGTCATTAAACATTGGCGATAATTTCATAGCTGATATTATATGAAGATCCTTGATCAAGGTATTGACATAGCGTCTTGTCGGGAGCTGGCTTTGGAGATCGGTGAGAAACTCGGTGAACCTTTCACAATACGATACTTGGTCTACAGCAATGTTAACTATTGTCACAAGCAGAAGAGAACCCGACGAATGTACTTGCCTGATTTGCTATTTTGCGCATAAAGCAGGCTTAGGAAGTCGAGAAGCAGCGTGTAGAGCCAAGACCGTTCGAATCGTAACCGCGCCTTGTTTGACTCGTCTGCTGCGTCGTATCGCTTGTGTGTGGCCTTCCAGGCCTTTCGTAGATGGGGAAGTTGGTCAAGATTAGCTTCACGCGACCGTTCGGTCGACAAATTGTGCCAGATCCCGATTGACACAAGAGGAGCGCATTCCTTTCGGACAAGAGCGCAATCAAGGCTCTGGAAGGCGTAGATAAAGAAACAAAGAAGTTGCGTTCGAAGGGTAACAGAGAGTGTTCGATCGATCGTCATCGACAAGAGTCGACGAAAGAATGAAGAAAAGTCGGCAGGTCGATCCTCGAAGAGCGCTAGCGGTCGTTAATAATGGTTTTCTTAGACGTTAGAGGCAACATACCCCATGTTGCAAGATGCTCTCGATGCTTCACGTTTGAAATGAGCGCAATCAGCAGAACATGAAAGTTGGAAGCTTCTTCGTTGTAGCCAGGCCACAGGTAGCTAGACAGGTCTGTATTAGCGCCTAGCATTCCAATCCTTATACCACAGAAAAGGAAAATACCTTTCTAGAGTCTGCAGGCGTTCAAGAAGTAAGAGAGACTTGTACTGGAAACCCTCCCGTTCAAGGACATCCCAGATGTTCTGCTTCAAGACATCATTCTTGACCTTTGGGTTTGCCGACTTCTTACCAGACTTCAACCAGTGCTTCCGCGCAAGCTGAACGAACTGGTGCTCCTCTTCCTCTACTTCAGCTGGAGTCGGACGGCCGTCGGTAGACATGGGCTTTGGGTTGCTCTGTTTCTGCGCTTTGGCAGCGCCGCTGCCCTTGAGGCGCTTCACGTTTGGCATTGTCGAATTATTGTATCGTCATAGGTTTATTGTGTGTTCGTGCCGCTCATCAATGCAATGGTAGAGCAGGAAGTTGCGTGACCCGGGGTAGAATCGAATTGCCGAAGCTCGGGTTCTGAATTCAGATCCAACCTTGAATGGCTTCAGTAGGTAGGTAGATAAAAGTTACGCCTCTCTCTCAACTCAAACAAATGATTCCCAAAAATTCAGCCTCGCGGACCCACGCGACGCGCTGAATGGGTCCAGCCACAGCAGAAGTAGCGGCAGGGATCTGGTACTTAGAGTTGAGTGCAACCCACGCCGGGAAGAGAGTTTCAGCATTCATTAGCTACCTGCAGTACCTGCACACCAGTCGCGCGCCATCTCTCAGCCTTCTCGCTTTCAAACATTCAAGCATGGGCTTAACTTAAATATCCATATGAACCAACAACCCAACCTACCCTTTCAAAGGAAAGCAAGCTGGTCAACCCTAAATCGACAGACCACGTCCCAAACTCTACGACGAACCTCGTTGCATTTTCGCGACTTAAACTGTACATCTACGAATCCAGATATTCCTTCCACCGAGCTTCACAACCCACCCCATGATTACATTTGCCTACTATTGTCTCCAACGATCGTCGTAGTCGCGCATCATGGCGGTGCAAGATACCGATAATCCGGCTTCTCAGGCGATTGCCACCTTCACTACCCTACTCGAACACTTTCTTTCTGAGGCAGAAACTTCAAAACAAACTTCAGCTATCGAGCCAGCATTACGCAAGTCCGATTTCGATGATCTCTCAGGACGAATCACGAGAACCGCAGTCGATGTGGTGAGCCCAGCAGTTGAGGGTGCCAGGCCAGCGAACGATAAAGGCCAACAGTTCGCCATAATAGAAACTGCTGCCCGTAACATATTCAGTCATCTTATTGTGAGGCTTGACTCTCCCTTGCGATCTGCGCCTTGCGCTGACCAAAGCAGGCGACAACTACCATCAACTCCCCCGACTACGTCAGAGTGTGGAATCTCCTCGATATTCTCTCGATTCTTTCCGATGATGGACAATGTGACCCTGCACTCTTGTTCTGGCTCGCTGAGGAGCTTCTGGACAGCCAGACCATTGCTGGGTGCCGTAAGATCTTCGATTTTCTTGAATCGAGGCGAGAACGAATCACTGCGAACCATTTCAAGCAGAAACAACTTATCATTCTCCGAACATGCAATGAGCTACTGCGACGGCTATCTCGTGCAGAGGATACTGCTTTCTGCGGACGGGTCTTTATCTTCATGTTTCAGAGCTTTCCGCTTGGCGACAAGAGTTCTGTAAATCTTCGGGGCGAATACCATGTCGAAAATGTCACGACATACGAAACAACGACGACTCGCGACGATGACTTCAAGATGGCTGTCGATGAGCCAGAAGAGCATTCGAAGCAGATAGAGTCAAAGCCTTCGGCCAAGCCAGCAGATGTCAAGAAGGGAGACAAGGAGAGGCCTCTATCGACCGACGAGCTATATCCACTGTTCTGGTCACTTCAGGAATACTTCAGTCAGCCCAAGAAACTTTTCGAGGCGTCAAGTTTGTCGTCCTTCAAGGGAAGTCTGATGGCGACCATGAATGTTTTCCAGACTGTCCATAATGATTCTAAACGGAGCCTCAAACGGAAGCGAGAGTCTAGCGAAGAAGATGAGAGTTCCAACGCATTTAACCCCAAATATCTCACTAGTAAAGACTTATTTGACCTCGAGGTAATATCTACGTTTCTTTCCACTGAACAAAAACTGAGAAAAACTACAGATCAGCGACCTGTCATTCCGACGACATATCCTGGTGCAAGCTCTGATCATCATGGATTTCCTTATTTCACTATCCGCTCAAGCGCGAGACAAGCTTACAGAAACCCTGCCTGCCACGGCCAGCGTAAACAAAGCTGTTATGTATAGCGATCAGATCCTGAGTGAAGAGGACGTAAGCATGGATTCAGGTGGCTAATATAAAAGATACATTGACTAATCTTCGACAGGCTAAATGGGCAACCGATATGAAAAAGATCATCGCCGATTATCTCCGGCAGGGGGTTGATGGCCCGTACTTTTATCGAATGGTAGAAACCGTCCTGGCTAGGGATAAGAACTGGGTTCGCTGGAAGATCGAAGGATGTCAACCCATCAAACGAGACCCCGTCTCCCCGCCAATCTTTGTGGAGGCGAAGGGTAATGTCCAGCGCATGGCCACTAACAAGCGATTGAGGGCAGTTCCTATGGGTTCTGTTTCCCTGGACTTTCTTAGGGAAGAAGACGAAAAGACAGCAATGGGCCGGCTTAAGGCTAAGGAGAGGTATGAGCTTCCAGAGCTCGATACATTCAAACGCAAGATTGCCGACGATGATTTTGAGATTGAGATGCCGACCAGTGATCAAACCAAGGCCAATGCTATTGCTGGCAAGGCCAGCAAAAGCTGGAGAGCGCTGCGGATTGCAGCACGCACAAGGCTCGCCGCATTTGACAAGATTGAAGACCCTAAGAAGGTCGGCATCGTTTTTGAAGAGATCACGGAGGCGGACGATAATGAAGGTATCACTGAGCCTGCAGCAAATGACGACGATATACCTACCAACCGAGAACCTATCATTGTCTCGGATGTCACCGGTGCAGACAATTCGACAGTCATCCACAGGTTAATGGAAGAGCATAAAGGGGTTTTCGCAACTGTCGTCAGACACACTACGCGGGAACCTCGAGACGGCGAAATCAATGGCAAGACCTTTCATTTCGTCAAGCAACAAGAATTCAATCAACTCCGTGACGGCGATCGATTAATAGAATCAGGTACTCGTGGTGGGGCTGATTATGGAACTAGCACCAAAGCCATCGATGCTATTACTGAGGCAGGCAAAGTTCCAATAATCGAGTTGGATGTCGAGGTAAGCTGATTGTGGTAATCAAATCACATACCTACAATACTAACTACTCTTTAAAGGCTGCACGTTACGCCAAAGACATGGATTTCGAAGCACGCTACGTGCTCATCAAAACTTCAACATCTGAAGCACTCGAGCAGCGTCTCAAGGCTTTGGGCAAGGACGACACTGCCATTCAGGAGATATTGAAGAGCCTAGCGACAGAGCTTGAGCCAGAGAAGACAGAGGTGCTGTTTAATACGACTATTGTCGTCGACGACGAGCAACTAGCAGTCAAAAGCCTTCGGGACTTCATCTACAGAAAGAGCAAAAGTGAGACTGCTGGGGACCAGGGTTTGAGGGAGGATATATCTATGAAAGAAGGACATGAAGCAAACGACGAGTGTGCTGAGACAAAGGAGGCTACGATGACGGATGCGTAATACTGATACTTTGTGCGCAGAAAATGTACTCTTTGTAGGTTAGTGTTTGAGAGTATTGGCAAAGGGCAAGATGATACCCCATCGAAATTGCGATTTGTGCCGTTCGGATCTAATAGCTGGTCAGGCACGTTGAGCCACAACAGACCACTGAAGAGAATTTGGGCTTGAACATACGTAGCGGTGGCTAATGGCAACTAGCAAGCAAGAGCAGGTGGAAAATAACTTTTTTTTCGAATATTACAGGTTGCAGGGTGAATAATCACATATATATTGAGGGGTTCATAGTCAAAATCGTGGCGGAGTATGCACCGCTTAGTACTGTACAATGTTGAGCACTTGGCGTAACTTGATGGTAAAACAGCAGAGTGAAATTGAACTATCAAGAGCATGAAGAGTATGAAACTATACTGGATTGTTTGCTCATTGGGCCTAAGCAGACCTGCAACCCACGCCCTTTCTTGTCAGATTCAGGGCATGCAAGAAAGCACCACAATATATCAACACAAGACCAAAGAAATGAGATTCTACTCCTCGTCAGAAGACTCCTCTGAGTCGGCCTCCGCGAGCCAAGTCAGGAAGGGCTCAGCAGCCTTGCGGACTTTCTTGGAAGTGGAAATATCAGTGTACTTCTTGCTAGCCTTGGAGCCCCACTTGGTCACAACCTCCTCGCTGACCAGGTCGTGGTGGTAGTAAAGCTGAAGTATCTTAACGATAGACTGGAACATCTCAGGTTGATCAGCAGCAAGCCTTCCAACCAGACGCTCAGTGCCTCCAAGAAGGGCCTTCTCGTGACGCTCGGAGGTAACAAACTACATCAAGTCAGTATTCAAGCCTATCGATGGTCAAAGTATTCGACGTACCTGCTTGAGCATGCTAGCACGCTTAGAAATCTGAGCAACAATGTTCTTGTCGAAAATGGTTTGAACAAGAACAAGAACAGTGCGGTGCTTGTTCTCGATGCCGAGTTCCTTGGCCTTGACATAGATATCGATCGATTCAACTTTGTCAATGTTTCCCTTCTCCTCAGCCTGAGACTGAATCCAGTCACCGAGCTCATCGTAGACAGTGGGACCACCATCGCCTTCTTCGTCGTCGTCATCGCCAATGTTAAGCTTCTGCTTGAACTCGCCGGGGAGAGACGCCTGGCGGGCCTTGACAGCTTCCTCACTCATGTCTACAGCCCACTCGTGCTCCTTGACTTCGTTCTCCTGGGCGACTTCAGCAGCCTCGGCCTGGACCTTTTGAAACTCATCGTCGCTACCAACGTCCTCATCGCCATTCTCGTTGGAACCGTTCTCGGAAGCTTCATCGCTGCCAGCGCCGTTCTGGCCGTTGGTGCCATTTGCAGCGTTACCGTTCTGTCGAGCCTTCTTGGCAGCCCTTCGCTCGGCCTTGTCTTTCTTGCCCTTCTTGGGCTGGTTCTTGAGGATGAAGCCACTAAGCTTGAGGCGAAGGTCAACATCAGTACGCTGACCACAGGCTTTGCAGTCAAGAAGGATATGATCATCCTTAATGACGACGTCGGTCTCAGGATTCTTGCACTTCTTGCAGAGAACAAACTTGTTGATGAAACCGTCGAGGTGATCCTGGAGTTTAGGAGCATCATGAGCGCCGTTGATGATCCAACGGTCGTCCTTGGGGTCAATGTTGGTTTGAGCACCAAGTTCAAACCCGAAGTACTTGATGACGTAGGCACCGGGACGGGCGAGGGAGGCAGCGACGCTGCTCAAGTTGACAACGACGGTCTTGATACCGTTTCCCTTGCCTTCGATCTTGGTCTGCAGACGCTCCATCTTGTAACGATAGAAAGCATCGCTGACATCGCGGCGAACGTTGACGAGAGCCATGGTGACGGTATTGATAAGTCACTTTCTGTGAAATAAAGATAACAGAGCGAGGCTGATAGACACGGCTATTAGTTGGTATAGTCGTGAGGTGACGAGGGTGTCATGTATAGACTTTGGTAGCAGAAGGTAGTTGAGGATGGGCGGAGCAACGAGGGTTTCAGTGCTCTTGATGAGTTTTGATTGTCATGTGGCAGGCCGGAATGATGATCGGATGCTGATGGAAATGCATAGACAACTGTTATGTTGCTTGATTTCAACCGTCAGAACTGATATCGGGGCTACAAGGCTTTCGCGGTATGCGAAATAACTGCAGCTTGAAGAGGTGTCTGAAGACGGAGTGCTGATCGTGCTGATACATAAACAGCAGTGTCGCTCGGCGGATATAAGTGTTCGGGCGGGTACCGATTACGAAGAAGCAAACGATGACCGAGGACAGAAGACGCTCCTAGGCCAACACAATGGAGGAGGTTCGGGACGGGAGGTAAGCGGGGGAATTCAAGTGGACGATGCGCGCTGCGACTGTAATGAGTCAACAGGCAAGTCTAAGAGCGAAGTTCGCTTTGCGCGATAGATATAGAGGGTCTTGGGTGAGCAAGTGTTTCTGTCTCGGTGAGATACAGTGTGGTGTTGAAGAAAGGAAGAAGAAAAATGCGATGGAGAGGGAGCGGACGTGAGTTAAGAAGGACGAGAGGAGAGGGGCGATGTTAGGGCCGACCGGGATTTTTTTTCTTGGGTGGTAGCTTAAAAATGGGGCGTACACCTGCACCTGCCTCTCTGCCTGGGCAAGAAGAAGAAAAAACCTCGATGCCTGTCCAGTCACAGTCACATTCATACTACTATAGGTACCTACCTAGGTAAGGTAAGGTACTATGGAAGGTAGTATAGAGGCTACCTAGTACTAGAGGTAGCACCAAAATGCCAATATCAAGATCCATTCGTAGGTACTAAGGTACAGTCCATACAGTACCAATCCATCAATTTGTAGATGTACTAAGGTATCATTTAGCAGGCTTTGAGAACTGCTGAATATTTGTTGATGACCTAAAGGTTTGGAAATTCGAAACCATAGTCAAACACCAGCAAGTGGTAAATAAATGGCTAGTGTACCTAAGGTAGGTAGGTACTGACTGACCTCCAACCAACATTCAATGTCCGTCCAGCAGTTAAGTTATCCAGGCACTGTTGCGCAGCTCGCTTCGCCTGCCCATAGGTACTAGACTACCTAGGTCGTAGATGCTAGACCTCTTCACAATCTACGCCCACTACAATTAGAGTCAGGCAGATGTGAATTCCTCAAAAGACTAATTTAGTTCTTGCGCAGTCAGGAGGGCAACAGAAGAATTGTGTTCCAAGGCTTAGGTTATCATAATAAAGTAGCCTAAATGCCTGTCTAAGATGGCGTAAAGTGACTGGATTATTTCGTCCCTTAGGCTCTCCAGCTTGGGGGTCAGTTCTTGTCACACCCTGAGGGCAGTATAGCTGCGTGAGTAGGTATGGAGGTGATAGACAGACTGTTTAAAATTACTATTTCGTGCCTACACTTAGCAAATGTGCTTTTTTGTTCTTTTCCTATATCCATTACACGATACAGGTCTTATTATGGATGGATGCTGCCTTCCTACTACTAAGCTAGGTCTGCATGTATGACACTTATATTTTTACATGGAGCCATCCATTATCTTTCCTGGCTCAATTTTTAATTGGAACAAATCTGAGGAGGCATCGCTTTCCAAGAGGCCGTGACGAGATCAGCTGATCATCCATCACCATCAACTCACTCTTCATTGACTCATGTGGTTTGGTCTCGTATCTTGAGTATACATCCCGCAGCAACGTCTTCATCTCGGCCATAGCAAGGCTACAGTTGTTTCATTGTTAGTTGAAATTCTCGTATCAGTCACAAATGACCACTTACTGCTTTCCAATACATCCCCGACCTCCACTTGAGAAAGCCCACTGGTGTCGTCGTCGGTCGGCATCTCCTTCAGTTTCCAGCCATCTTTCCGGGCAAAACTTATCAGGTTCGGGAAACACAAGATGGTTGATTCGGTGGACCGACATGGCCTGACAACTAACCACGGTTCTCTCAGGCAAAAAGAAGCCATCGATACTGCGACCGCCTTGGGGAACATATCTTGGTAACGACATTGGAATAGCAGGGAAGCATCGCAGTCCTTCGTTGAGTACGGCATCAAGCATGGGCAGATCGTCCAAAGAAGCATCAGCTCTAGTCAGAAACTCGTCTCGTAAGAGGCGTTGGTACTTGATCGATCGAGGCTGGGAGAGTTCCCACATCAAGAAGCACAGCACGTCACCAGTCGTGTCAATACCTGCCGCCATATGGTCAAGACACTCGGCAGCCATATCCATGGTATCCAGCACGCTGTCTTTCTCCTTGAGCCGGTTTAAGACGGTGAAGCCTGCTGCTCCGTTCTCTTTGGCGTTTTCAATGACAAAGTTGTCGGCCAGGGGAATGGACCGAGGCTTAGCAAAGCTGGCAAGAATTTTCGATCCAAAGCTGTGAAGAACCGGGCTGTAGTATTGGACCAGTCGATCTGTGTCGTTTCAGCTTCAGCTTCACTTTCAATTTCTTGATCCTGCAATGATAGCTACTCACTCTGCAAGCTATCGTCAGCAGCAACTTGATGCATCATTTCTTCGTGAACCTTGTTCTGCAGGCAATTGCTTCCATAAGGGTGGAACAGTTGATGTGTAACACAATCACACGCATATGCGTGCAGTGCTGTAGGCATTGGTCAGTCGTACTTGAATACCATGCTGGGTGTGTCCATCTGGCAGCACCAACCTCTCTGTTTGACATGTCAGTCAGTCATGCATGAGTTTCACGATGAACATTTCAGCTTACAAAAACATCTGCCGTTCTGTCAGGAGACTCGAGGCAACGCTGGAGGAACTTGGTCGATCGTTCCTTGATCCCAGCCAGAGGGGCAGCTTTCATCACATTGCTGTTGGCATATCGATCACCGATCATTCTCCTCCTCTTTGCATGCTTGATTGATAAATAGTTAATCCCGACACGCTTCATATCATTGCATCATAACTCACATCGCCTTTGACCAAGGTTGAAAACATTGTTCTACATTACTCGTCATCAGCATGATTAGTTTTCTTTCTGGCTTGTAATGATTGATTGATCTCTTACCGTTTGCCGTAGACCTGAAAAAGATCGTAGAATTCTGTCTTATCATAGCCACTGCCTCCAGAGCCATAAATCTCTTTGAGGGCGTCGATGGAAGTGAAGGAGACTTCGTTGGGCGCAACGCGGACTACCGGCCCATATCGCTTGTGTAGTTCATGAATATACACAGTACGGTTGGCATTGAGTTCGTGCCATTTCAGTACGAGCGAAGTGAAGTTGGATATGAACGAGCCAGGAACCTTTGCTGTGGCTGAACAAAGACGGATGATAAGATGAGTAAAGAGAAACAGCGCAGCAGCTCCAGATACGAAGTTGGGTGATGAAATCAACATGATGGCAGTGTTGGTTCGGTCAGTCGTGTTTGAGCTGCGTATAAGAAGAGGAGGAGGAGGAGGAGGAGGAGGAGGAAGAGGAAGAAAGAGAAGAAGGAGAAGATAGAGGGTCAATCCTGGCTAGATGAGTGGCTAGACTACCTTGAGCTTCTTATCATATACCTGTCTCACCTAACATACCTAGGTAGGTAATAGGTAGAGTGCTTTATACTCTGATATGACTCCATCTCCTCGGATCCAATTCCGAATGCTTTACTGCGCAATGTCAAAGATACAGTACAGTACGAGAGTTTTTGTTACTGTAACAAATCACAGGCTTGGAATTGTCACTCTATTACATATCAGTTTTGTCGTTGTCGCTTCTTTGTTCCCTCTTGAGTATGGTCGCCTCCACCTCCAATTCTGGGGTTTCCTACCCCACACCTAGTGATAGATAGGTAGGTAGTGTATCAGTCATGAAATTCAACTACTTAGTACTGCAGTACTACCTACCTACCTACCTAGACTTGATAAGTACCTCCTTGGGTAAGATAAATGTTCTGAAGAATGAGAGGAGTGATGAAATTATATGAGGCTGTCCGCACAGAGCCATATGTATTGTTACGAACCCTACTTTGTATCACCACCCCTATCTTGACAAGAACCTCCTCCAAGCATACTCGTGAACTAATTCAAGCCTGGGATCTGCATTGGTGCCGCAGGAGGATATTCTTTACCGCCGATCTCGGTTCTCGGGGTACAGGTGCACCATTGTGACTGAGGCACTTGATCGAATACCTGCTGAACGTGGTTACCGCATCCACGCCATGACTTTCTCGCTGCTCATGATAAGAGATCTTGTTAGCCTCTTGTAGATTTATCACGTTAAGGGTTATAAGGGCTCGCAGCAAGTTGAGCAGGTGGTACCAAAACACATGATGTTGAAACAAGCAGTGTGCAGATAGATGAGGACTGGTTGGAGAACTGACGTAGACCTCTGCTTTGGAACGGAATCGGGCACTTTTTAAATACGCAGTGATATTATTAGGCCGTCAACGCTGACAACTTACATACTACCTACTAGATAGGTATCTAGTCAAGGGCCGTTTCCGTTTTGATAGAGCTGGCGGTGGTGAGCGCTGAATTAACTAGTCGCCGTTAAACGGCGTTGTCCGGATCGAGGTTACCCTATATCTCGACTCAGCTTCACTCTCTTGAGAGCTACCTGAGTTATATAATCAAGCATTAGCGCTGCTATCAATAATCAAGGGCGAAATATATCAATAATGGGATGACCAAATGAGGTAATTCCACTGGTATTCCCAAAGATGATGAATGCTGGTCATAACTTGATCGTTTCATGAGATTTACTCCCAGACCCAAAACCGATATTTGTATCTGGCTCTCAAATACTCATGCGTATAAATCATAAAACTTACAAGAATCGACAACTCTGATAACATCCCAGGGATGCTGGGAATTACCACAAGAAATGAGATCAACGACATGTTAGAGAATACAGTGTTTACGCAACTCAATGCAGTAGCAGCATATCCCTGTCTGACAGGAAGCTTATGAGGTACTATTCATAGCACCGACTTGCAGGGTAGTCTATGACCAGGCTTATCAAAGTCCTTATCTAGGGAATACTTTGGTTCATTGCTGACACTAACGGATGAACTTTTGCAGATAAGACCAAAACTATCCATATCGCAACTGGAAGTTGAATGTCGAACACGTTCATCATAAGAACGACTCTGCCCACCAGACGAACTCAGCATATTTTCCTTATTCGTGAGCCCAAGGCACCTACCTAGAAGTAAACCTTGATCTATCCATCCATCCATCCATCCATCCATGTCAGCAAATGGATCTGGCGCCACTTATCGTAGAGGCAGTGCTGTAGTACCAGGCCGCAGTGTAGGGGTCTGACAGCCCATAGGAGTAAGGGACTCGGCATTTTGGGTGTCCACGGGGACGAATAGTTAAGGCTCTGGGCTTGGTAAAGCATGCACTACGAATTGCCCATGATAGTTGCAGTGAGTGATTCGGTGCATCCGATTCAATTCAGTTCAGTCAGTTCAGTTTATCCACTAACTTAACTTGTCTTTTCCGATCGGTGGTGATGTCTCGAGGTTAGCAGTCTCCATCCATTAGTACCTCTAGCACTTACCTTACCTACCTTGCCTACATTGGACAGTACCTACTACCCGGCGGGCAAGTAGGGTTCTTTGGAACTGCCCCGATTTCAATAACCCAACATTGGATTGAAATCACATCTCTCAACTTCCTACCTAGGTACTTACCTACCTACCAAAAACTCCCCGACCTCAACACTTTGCTGTGCGCGAATACTTCCTCCTCCTCCTCCTCCTCCTCCTTCCTTCCGGTCCCTTGCCTCTCCCCTCGTCCGCCGTCCGCAACGACAATCGTAGTCGCATAATGAGGAACTTCCTCGGAAAGCACAGCAATCGTTCATCGCATGCGCTCAACGAGCCGCGAACCCCGTCCAAGACGCCTGCTTCCACGACTACGAACAACGGCCAACCTCCCTCTACTGGCAGTGCAGCAGCACCTCAAGTTCAAGCTCAAGCTCAGGCTCAACCCACAGGCCATCAGCGTCAACCAAGCCATCAGCCTCAGTCGCAGCTTCAACAACAGCCCCAGCAGCTCCCACAGGATCAACACTATCAAGTTCAGCAGCGCCAGCAGCTCCTCGACGAGGCGGACTCAGCCTCCCACGGCGCCCACTTCGGCCACCCTCAATCCCAATCTCACTCACACTCGCACTCGCACAACAGCGCCAGCGCCAGCGCCAACAACCCTTCCACCATAAACCCCCATTCAGCCTTGTCCTCGTCCCATAACACCGCCTTCAGCTCCAGTGAATCTTTTGATTCCCAACAACCGCCTCCACCTTCTCATTACGTGCAACAGCAGCAACAACAGCCGTTGCACCTTCAACATCCTCAGCAGCAGACTCAAGGTTCTTTGCCACTGTTGCCTTCCCCCTCCTCCGCTTCCGCTTCCACTGGCGCCCCTCCCCCACCTCATCTCTATAGCTCCCCTTCAGCTGCCAGCAGCACGACCGGTGCGAACCTCAACAACAACCCTCCTTCTTTGCAACAGCAGCAGAGCTCCAATCTATCTAACGTGGCATACGATTCTCACCAACCCCACGGCGAATTCAACGACCCTGGGCTCGGCCGCTCGCAGAGTATTCAATACAGCGCTACCGCACAGTACGATAATCAGAACCCATCCGTCGATGACCTGAACCGCTACGGTCAAATACCACCTCAACAGTTACAGCAGCAGCAAGCTCAAGCTCAAGCTCAAGCTCAAGCTCAAGCTCAAGCTCAAGCTCAAGCTCAAGCGCCAACGGCACCTGCTGAGAAGCGGTCGACTCGAAAATTGATTAAGGGCATATTTTCTGGGTCCAATCGTGGGGCGTCTGACAGCCAGCACCACCACAGCATAAGCATCGGTCACAGTAACAACCAATCCTACGATAACACTGGCGGCCTTGCACGTCGACCGTCCAAGCGGGTGAGCAATCCACCGCCTTTCCTTTCTGTTCTTAAGCGTGCCTTGTTTTCATATTCCTATTGTTTTGTGCTGCGACCCTGAACCCCCCGTCTTTCTACGCCGCCTGGTCTTCGGTCTCATCCCCCTCTCCCAGCCCAGCCCAACACCCAATCTCACACCCGACTTCACCCCGCCTACGTCGCCGGTCTTCTCTTTATCTTACTCGGCAGGATAACCTGCCATAGGCTAAGCTACCATAACCGTCAAAGTTGGTTCGGAACACCCTCCAATCTTTCCTTTTGTTTTCATCCCAAGCCAAGCCAAGCCAGACCCAGTCTTTGCTCCTGGCTATCATTTTGGCGCAGACTGCGTATGCCGCAGTCAGCTCAAGCTGAGCTCCTTTAACAGGTTCAGCAGCTCCCCGAGAGTCAACGCTCCCCTCTACCCCAGCTTTCATCTCGCAAGGGCCTCGACGACATCAATGAGCATTATATCGCACATCAATCTGACCAATCATCACCTTCGCAGACTTCTCGTATTTCGCTTCATAACACCATTCGCCAAGTTGCTGGTGAGGTAGACCAACACCCGCAGCAATCTCACGAAGACGCCGCATATCAAAACCAGGCCCCGCTGCCGCAACCCCACGTTCAGTTGCACGCAGACGATCAGCAACCGCAACCTGGTTACGAAACAAACGTGTACGACCACCAACAATCGCCTCTCGGCCAGCCGCAACAGCCCTATCAGTTTTCAAACACCCAGCAGCAACCTAGTTATCATCAGGGTGGGAATCAAGGTGGAGAATTGAGATCAGTTTCCGCACATCTGGGTCCCAGCGCACAGTTTCAGAATCCTGAAACAGTCTCTCAGTTCTCGCATGAATCGCCCGTCGCCGACTCGGATCAGCGCTCAGCTCATTTACAGTCAGCAACCAACTCGCCTGCTGTGAACCACTCCTTGTACATTCAGCAACAAGGCTCAACACCGAGCCTTCCCCCCGCACAACAGATAACCCCCCAACCGCAGCAGCAAGGCATGGCACCACCTACTGGAGGACCTCCACCCTCGCGCCGTCCAGACTCCGATAAGCTGCGTGGACAGACCGACGTCCCCGGCGGCCCGCCCCCCACTTATCGTCCCGCCAATTCCATGAACAACATGAACCCGCTACCCCCTGTGCCGCCTCAAGCTGCTGGCCAGTCGGCGGCGTACCGAGGCGATCGCCCGCCTCAGTTTGAGGGCCAGACGGTTGACCAGGGACGAGACAGCCCGCAGCCTGTGTCTGCTGTGCCAGCGGACTCTGGTGAGAACGATAAGTCGTTCAAGGATCTATGTAAGTAGGCTTATGCGGCGATCTCAGCCCAGTGCAAGCAAGAGTACTTACTGATTTCTTGCAGTGACTAAGTATAAGAACGTCAAACGCCTTTACTTCGACGGCAAGGGGCAGATCGAGGTGCTCAATGGCCAGATCGTGCATCTCCAGAATGCTGTAGCCAACCAGCGCATGTCGCAATCACGTACCGCTCTCGATGATAGTGAATACTCTACACGATTCAATCGACTCAATGGCGCCATCAACAACCTTTCTTTCAACATTCGTAAAGATTGGCGATGCGTGCCTCAGTGGCTTGACAAGTATGTCAGCGCAGAGGCACTCAAGACTGGAAAGGCCGAGATGACGGCTGTTGGACGAGCAGTCATCTCGCGATGGCTGATGGAGGAAGTGTTTAACAAGTGTTTTCACCCTAGCCTGGATCCTCAGTTAAGTCAGTCACTCAAAGAGATTGAGCTTGGCATTCGAAGCAACACATACACCCTGACTAGTCAGGAAGAGTTCGATGCCTTGACAAACAAGATCGTGAGCTGGCGAATGACATCACTCGACGGGCTTCATCGCCAGCTCAACTCGCCAGCCGCGAACGAGAACCGCAATACATTTATCGCCAAAACGACAACGAACTTAACGGCCTGCCTTTATCAATTCCTCAACACGCCGCCACCGCCTGGCGTGGACGGCAGCGCGTCGATGATCGTGGAACTCGCCGTAGGGATCGCAGCCAACCTCCCCCTTGAGAGTCGCGACGTGGCTATTACCTACCCGCTACCCGGAGACATAGTCCAGCCTCATGTGATGGAAGTTGAAAAGGCGGCACTGCCAGTATTGGAGGCTCAGAAGGGCGGAGAAGATGGTGACGATAAGGAAGGTGATGACGAAAAGAAAGTCAAGACTGGTACGTTGAACAAAGTAGCCCCGCCCGAGAGCGGGGAGGGTAAAGACGCTGCAGAAAGCAAAAGAACGGATGCTGACAAGGACACATTTGTAGCGGCCCTGCCGAAGGATTCGAACAGGGTGCGGTTCGCAGGATTTATGGCATTGGAAGTACGAGGAAGGCAGGTGTTGATGAAAGCGCCTATCTGGACTCTGTGAACGAAAGCAGTTGAGTAGATATGGTCTGTAACGGTGAGATCCGGAGAAGAGAGGAAAGGAAGCGTCTTATGTCAGTCTTGGCGGAAGGGCGAGATCACATAAGAGACAGTATATTGCGACTCAAAGCACTGAAGTTCTAAATCTGGTCGATGAATAGGTCAGACTTGGTAAAAAAAGGCATGACCAGACGGGCTTAGAAGGAATGACGGATCACGAATGGCATGAAGAAGGATTCTGACGGTAAAGGATACGGGCCGTTGTTTTATTTCTGTGTATATGGCCGCAGTCCAAGATGGCTACAAGGAGTTCCCATTGCCATCTGTCTGCATAAATAAATGAAGACTAGAGTCACTATTTGGCCCTATACCATCTGTCTGGTATGCTAGTTGTGAAGGGAAGCTTAGATATCAAGTGATATCACCATCCACCTATAGGTAGACCACGATGTTTAAGGGAGGTGACTACCTATCTAGATAGGTGCTAGCATGTAGGCATGATGAAATTTGGAATCATATACCGCATTTGGATTTTGAGCCTTTACTTGAAATGAGTCGAAACTCATCAAATCAGACTAATGCTGGCATAGACGTAGGTATCGACGGTCAAGAGTCATTTTTTAATTGGAAGAGTCACAGTCTTCATAGTTAAAGAACTTTGCTTTCATCCATAGTGGCGATGTTTTAGGACGGCGTGAATGGATCCATGAATGATTTCGTGCCATAAGGTAGTGAGTGTCCATGTTCAGCCCAGTGGAGGTGAGTCATAATGCTGATTACTACTTTCAGAAGGCAGTTTTAGTGAGGTGCAGTCGGGTCAACTGCAGGTGGGACCCTGAATGCACTGTGCTAGGTTAGCATTCGGGTCATCTACTCCACTATTATGAGGTACAGGCTTGGGCATTAGGTACCTTCCAACATAAAAGCGGCGAGAGCTCCCCCAAGAGAGGAGGAGGGGCATAAAACAGAGAGACCCGACGTAAGAAAAAAAAAAAAAAACC